TTTTTTTCCTACAAACATAAAGTGCAATTTAAATGAAAAACAAAACACTCCAAATTTTCTGAGAGCATGAGCACAGGCAACAATTGCGATGCTGTTTTACAGCCCGGGGGGACAAACAGTATGAGAAAGAACGAGACCAAATGTGGGGGTCCACAAATATCTTCTCCGACTACCCATCTTTCGAACACTGCAGGTTGCTGAAGACAGCCATCGTTTTAGAGGCCGGTTGATAGACGAAGGGCGAGCTAAGCAATTTCTAACTTTTGTATAATATAGCTGGGGAACAACTTGCGTGAAGACAGAGAATCATGTGTTTCAGAAAGCAATGAACAATGGACGTGTGGAGGATGGGTGTCCCCGCATGTTGTATAGAGGCTACTTACAAATTTCAAAAACTTAAACAGATGGCCTGAGATTTTTAGACAGGGGACCAAGGAGGTTAGATTTGTGTCTTCTCCAGATCTTCTTCTTCATCCCATGCTTCAAAGCTGTTGTTATTTAAGATGTTGAATATTCCCATTGAGTTCAGCATCTTCCCACTGCAGTAGACAGATTTAGAAGCAGCGATCAGCTCTAAGAGAGTCAGTACTGGCGACACCAATTCAAAGGATAGTTACAACTAAGACAATGGATGATGAGAAGAGTTCCTGGACCAATGAGAAAATATCAGTGGACTGAAGATGACTGTACTTATTCACCCCAAACTAACAGGTTCCCCTGCAACAGGATGCAGACATCTGGGATGGATTCGGAGATGGGAGAGTAGAGACATTCCATTTACAGTGGTGCTCCGAGCCGTGTCGCCTTGGGTACGATGACCAGACTTTCTAAGATAAGATAATGAGCATTTCCGACTTAACGCTTTATCCCTAATATAAAGATAAAACTGTGGCATCTGAGATCAAATATGTAAGGGTCGTAGAAACGGGCCAGAACCAACGAGCGTCCTCTTTTACAGCTGCTCGCTCCAGTGACTCCGTGACTGTTGCCATGTGATGATGACGACACTTTCCATTTTTAAAAAGTCTGCAATAAAGCAAAAACAAGGTTATGCAATGTTTGTTTTTCTGAGTAGGGGAGTTTTCTGGGGAGTAGCGCACTCTCCAGGGACTGGCTTGAAAGCTGAATGCACAGGAGAGGGCGGAGAGAGGGGAAGAATTTCTTTCTTAAAAGGATTATGGATGAATTCTTCCAATTCCAAGTTCAGTTAGTGGTACCAGGATGTGCGTGAATGTAGAGCCACACACTGGATCATGGGAAAGCTACCAGGAGCCATACCCTGGAGGAAACCGACTCTTCCTCTCTAGTAGCCATTAGCTGCCAATAGCTCTCCCTCCACTAGGCTAGGGGTGAGGCTTCGCGAGTTCCTCCTCCATCTAGGCCAGTCTCCAATGACAAATTTTAAATTTTAGTTTTTTTTTAGGGAAGGCATAAGGTGTTTGGACAGAGGGGACTGTAAAACTTAAATATGCCGTGGTGCGAAATTGCACACAGGTCATATAAAAGTGAAACCAGCTTAAAACAAAAAGAAACTCTTGAAGTGAGAATTGGCAAATGGCACACCTCTCCTAGTTTCTTCTCTAGAAACCCTTCCTCCTCCACAGTTGCTTTTGCTCATGGTATTCATCGCAGCAACAGGAAGCAAACATGAACATGTGGTTTTTGGTGAGCTTCTTTGCTTAGCCAAACATCTTGGAACATCTTGGAAGCTTCTCTTCTATTGATATTATAACCACATACTCTCCCCCCCAAAAAAAAATAAATCAATGCCTAATTATTTGGGGGGTAACCAGAGGCACTGGGAGATAACCTCTAGTACGTAAGGGCAGAAAATAAAAATATCCAGCTTGCTTTATGAAGAAGGAAGGCTTGCTTGGGCACTGAAGGCCACAGCGTGTGTGTGTGTGTGTGTGTGTGTGTGTGTGTGTGTGTGTGTGTGCAGGTGGTGAGGGATTGGGAGGGGAAAGGTGAGTGGAGACTCTTGCTCTAGGAGAAGTGAACTCTCAAGAAACACATCCAGATGAGGGTACGATGGGTCCTTTATCAAAACAAGGTGGCAAGGCTCCAGATTTACAAGCTAATTTATGTATGGAATAGGTGACACTGGCTGGGCTGTGCCTTAGCTCCTGTCATACTGTGATGTCCCTTTTCTGTGGTATTTAACACTAGGACCTGGCGGGAAGGAAACACAGGTTCTTAGTTCTGTAGATCAGCAAGTGACTGATCACGACCTGGAGAGTAAACCAATCTGCTGCCTGACTCTTTAAGGTGAAGTTGTGTTGGGACACAGTCAAGCTCATTCTCTGACACATGATTGGCAGCGACTGTTGAGTTAGGCTTGATGGAATCCAGCAGCTAAGTAACTGTCCTGCGGGAGGGAAGGCGTTCTAAGAAGATGCTTCAGGCCTTCTTTTAGATTGTCTGACTTCTGAAAACACGGAACCCCTAGAAATTAGAATTTCTCCAAAAAATCTCATATAAGAGGAAGTTTGAGTTAGGTTCCTGGTGCCAGCATTGAGCAGAGATAATCTCCTTAAAGGGGGCACAAAAGCCTAGACGTCACTGATGTGTCAGTGACGGCCACGGCCACACCTTGTCCAGACGACTTAGTTATGCATCCTCCTGTGTAACTGAATCTCACGTCAGGATTCAGAAGCCGGCATTAAGAGTGTAAAAGCCTGGTCTTTATTTGCGTCTTCTCAATGTGTCATATTTGTTAAAACTTTCTTGGCTTTTCTTGATTACATGTCATCTCTCTATTGGCTGACTGAGAACCGGCGGCCAAGCTTAGCTACTTAGGGCTCCCCAGGGCCTACATTCTCACCTTAGTAGCTCCAGCAATGACTGCAGTCAAAGTTCCAGTAATCCTGGGCATACGTGAGTTGTCTTTCTACAGAACATCTGATTCCTGCTCTAGACTGTGGGAATGAAAATTCTTTCTCAAATGCAGAGGCCACTGCTCACTGCAGACATTTCAGAGAGGCAAACCTCACTGTTCATGATGTCAGCCTGTGCAAACTTACCCAGCGATCCCGCAAAAGCTCAGAGTGGCCACCCTAGACAAGACTACGGGACAAATTTCTCTGCTCTCCTAAAATGACACAAACGGATGGATCTTCACTGTGAAAGAGTCACATTCAAAGCTCAAATGAGTGTTTCTGCACACGTGTGGTTGTCAATCTATTAATTTTCAAAAGCCTGTTTTTTAAAGAAAATCTTTAGCTTCTATCAGTTTGAATCATTCTTTGAAGTCTTTCTCTTTTGTCAAAAATGAACCCACTCTCAGATTCCCAGTTCCTCTTCAGCTAGTCCCCTCTCTTCTTAGTCTCCGCTTCTCCTGTTTGTCATGTGCACACCTCATGGCCACACCACTCACAGGGCTCCAGGATGAGCTCCACACAGCTTTCATTGACCTCTAGGATCAATGTACATCTCTGGGATTAGGAGCCAAGTGTGAGTTTGTTCAGTAGAGTTTTCTAAGCACTACATGATGACAAATTATTTTCAACAGCAAAAAATATGTTTAAGTCAAAAGTTTTGTGTGATATCTGCCTGAAGTTTGAGGTGATTGACTGGCATCTTCGAACGCTTGTGAGTGGCAGAATTAACTATGAATGTGGCTGTAGCTGAGCCCATACTTTGCTCTGGGCTCTTGGGGGAGGGGTCCCTATCTCGTTCATTTACATTCGATAATGTTTTAGTATGAGGACTGGCTTTGGTCAGGAAACACCGTCAGTTTCCAGGTTGACTATCTGTGAATCCAGTTTGCGGTAGTCCTGCATTACCTTCTCTCACTCCTTAGCTAGGCTGAGCAGCTGCCCCACACAGTTCACACATTGATCTTAATCCATATGTTCAAACTATTATTAAGTGGTTACACCCTGTTCACCAAGTTGTGAAATGATTTCAGATCATATTGGGAAGCATTTCTGCTTTATGGGCCGTGTCCAGTGGCCAAGCAAATTGTTTATTTTCTCACTTGAATTTTTATTTAAAAACTCAAATTTCACAACCAGTTTAGATTTCCCATGGGTGCTTGCTTAAAGTGGAGTGCATTCAGAAATACTGGATATGCTTTTAAATGAAAAGAATTAAGTTTCAGAAAGAAAAGATTTGAAAGAGATTTGGATTACTCTGGTTATTTGAAAGATTATGATACTTCTATTTATATGAAACCCAATTCCTGAAGGTACTATAAATTTCCAAACTCAATATAATGGGGTTTTGTAGTAAGAAAAAAATGCCATAATAAGAAAAAAAAAACCCATGATTCTAATCATTGTATTTTTCCCCAAGATGAATTTTTTCCCTGGGCATGTTGATATTTATTTTGAAAGTAGTCAACTATTCTACTAATAATTGGTAAGCCCACCCCTATAAAATATTACCAAATTTAAATTAAAACAAGTCACTAGTTTAATAAAACAAACAAACAAATAACAGTAGCAGCAACAACAACAAAACTCCAAGCAGTGGGTTAACTACTCACGGGCTTTGCAAACTCATTGCTATTTAGCTGCTGTGGATTGCTCTGTAGATTACATTAATAAGGGGAATGGGTGAGGAGATTTCTGACTTTTGGCAATAGCTTCCAACATCAGCTTAGGAGCAGATGGAAACTGAAAATGGCCTTGACCTTGCAGCACAGCTATTATTTTTATTCATAATTATGAAAAAAGTGGAAGATGTAATCCAAACAGAATGCAAATTATTAAAGTAAATATTTAAATTATAACCTTGGCTTCTGCAGCAGCATTCCCTCAAGCCTTCTATTTGGTGAAATTAAATCTTGAGCACAGTGATTCTGATTTCTCTGAACCTCAGCAAGTCTTTTCTGAAACCTTCAGGAGGTCAGGAATAAAAAGTTAGCACAATGGGTAATTTCCTTGTGTTCTTCTGCCTGGCTGTTCTTAGAGTTCACAGTTCAGTGTCTGCTCTCAGGGGGATGGGGCTGGAGTTCACAGTTCAGTATCTATTCTTGGGGGGCAGGGCTGGAGTACACAGTTCAGTATCTATTCTTGGGGGGCAGGGCTGGAGTACACAGTTCAGTGTCTATTCTCGGGGGCAGGGCTGCACTCCCATGTCGTTTTACGCCAAGGTGTGATGATCCCCCCACTGGGAAATAAGTTCATATCTGCCATGTGAACTTTTTCCAACTCCTGCAGACAACGAGGGTCGAAGAAGAAGTCAAGACTGTTGGCAATTCTTCCTTCAAGTAAGGGGATCTTGTAGCATGATGGTTAACCTTGCCTGTCAATTTGAGTGACTGAGCGACTGACTAAGTCTCCTGTGTGGGTCTCCACTGGTGTTTCCTGGAAGTGTTAACTGAGCGCAGGATGTCAGGCAGCACTTTCTGGAGACGACCCAGTGATTAGGAGGGCTTGAGGGGGGAAACCTGCTGCATTTTGCCTGCTTGACTTTGGTCCCTGCTGGTGAGTGCGACCTTCATTGCTGCTTCTGCCTGCACCATCCCTTTCTGACCTCAAAGCCAAGCTTCCAGCATGGGCTGAAGACCGGCTGCTCTCCAGGAATCCTTCAGTCTTTCAATACTAGGACTGAAACTGCTCTTGTGAATTGAGAAGCTAGCAGATTCCAAGCATCAGAAGACAGCTGGTTTTGGATGGCTTGACCCGAAGCATATAAACTAATCTAATAAATTCTCCCCTCTCCCTCTCCTCCCTCTCCCTCCCCCGTGCACGCACCTTCCCTCCCACACACCCCAGTTCTATATACATGGCTTGGCATCAGCCTCCAGCCTAACAGGTACACATCACAAAGACGTAGCAACGAAGACTCCTCAGTTCTGTTTAATAGGTTCTGAGAAGCTCACGGTGCACATGTTTCCTTCTAGAACCTCTCCATGTCCCTCACTGAGGAATATTCCAGGCTGTTTTCCTTTTGTTCCTTCACCTTCTTCCTAATGATGAGGAAGAGGAAATGTCAAGGCTAGAATGCTCTCAGATTTCTGAATAGCTGGGCCTAGCCTGCTGGCCACTCACATGAGAGCCATCTTTCTGCCGGTAAGTCCTGGGGACTGAGTCCTGGTCTCTGGGTCAGGGGCTCTGACAAAGAGACCGCCTGGGAGAGTTGCTCAGAGAACAACTGGGCTGTGTGCTGCATTTAAAATCTTCCAATGGTTGCAAGACAGCTTGGCAGTCTCTTCTAAAATTAAACAGTCTTACTGCACGATCCAGCAATCAGAATCGCACTCCCTGGTATTCACCCAAATGACTTGGAAATTGTGTGCACACAGATATTTATGGCAACTGCAGTCACAATTACAGGTGAATGGGTTTGTAAACTAGGGTATGTCAAGATAACGGGATTTTTACAAGAGCTACAAAGAAGTCACATAACAACACAGCAAAAGACGTTGGGACAGGAAACTTCAATGTGTGTTACTACAAGCAGAGAATCTGTAAGGGCGGTGGACTGTATTATTCCTGTTACAAAACATTCTGGAAAAATAGATATTGTGTAGACAGAATAAAGATCTGAGGAGGAGAAGCAGAAATGACTAGGGAGAAGGAGGAGGGTGTGCAGGCCAGGAAGCTGCTCCATATGATGCTGTGGTAGTTTGTGTTATCTGTCTAAATCTGTAACGTAGAAAACACCAAGAATGAACTCAAATGTGAAGAATGGGTTGGAGAGGGAATGACGTAAGCACGCAGGTTCATCAATTGGAAGAAATGGTTCACTCTCCTTAGAGAATGGATGTTGATAATGAAGGGGGAAGACAATGTGGGAGGAGTGGCCCAAAAGGACATGGGACCTGCGTACAATTTCCGCTGACTGTTTTTGTGTGTTTAAACCTTTTCAAAGTAAAACTCTTGACGTGGGCTGGATTGTGGCATTCCTGTGCAAGCCTATGGGAAGTATGACCTATAGAAAAGAGATAGCTTTGGGGAGAGGAAGCCATGTTCTAATCTTTGCCATATGGAAGGGTGTAACCCAATCCTGGAAGATTCAAGATCTATCCTGGGGGCTGGCACTGGAATGGGAAGTGCATACACTTTACTGAGAGGAAAACCTTTACAAGTTGAGTAAATGGACCGGGTTAATGCTTGAGATTTTTGTCTGTGGCCTGTTCTGCAGGTTGTAATTTAGATCACGCTGTCATTTGTTCTACAGGACATCAGTTGCGCTGTGGTCCCTAAACAAAGGGTGAACTGTTTCCCATGCCTGACAGTGTCCCGCATGGAGGAGTGAGTGCAGAAATGGACAGGGAATGGGAAGGAGAACAGGGAGCACTGTGGTGGTGGGGCTGGTGGCTAAGATGGACATTTCTTGTTTTTCTGTTTGCTTAAAGAGTAATCAGTAGTGACAGAGCCTTTCAGATGACAGCAGCCAGGAGGACACAGGGAGGACACAGCCGGGAGGCTGCTGTGCTTTCCAGAGCACTAGGATTTGGGGAAAATGAGATTAAATGTTCCTCTCGATGGTAACTTTACTCTCAGAAGATACGCCACTTACCAAAATAAATAGAGGTTTCTCATTCCTTGCAGAAAGATGTTGCAGCTTTTCCCAGTGCTGCAGCCGGCTTCTAAAAGCAGCTGTCCCAAATGGATACAATTTGGAAGGTGTTTTGTTTATCAGGGGTATGGATCAGCGGGTGGTCAGCAAAGCTCCTATCAAAGAAGATGAAGACCCCCTTATCTGGATGGAATTTAATTAAAAATAAACAAGACCATGGCTACTATCTTAGGAGAGCACAGCTTACTGCAGTTTAATTTCCTTTCAGGAAAAGATGATAGGAAAGCTCGGCAGATTCTAACATACAAAGGCAAATTTTACATCTCATCACTGTCCTCGAGCGGTTCATCCCCCTTCACCCTCACACCGCTTTCTTCTGCACGTGACTCCCATTAGCTGACTCAGTTACACCCTGCCCCATGTCTCTACCTAGCTCATTTTGACAGCACCAAACGCTGGAACTCTAAACCAACAGTTCCAAAAATAGGGATTTTTTTAAAATAAAAATTTAATCGCACATAGATTGGATTGAAAGTTCTCTGGATAACGTCTGCTGAGGTTCCGCGAATAAAACAGTGAAATGAGTCAACCCATCATACCAGCGTCTCAAGAAGCGAACCACAAAAATGCATTTATCTCCTTTGCGATGCTTAATGTCAGCTCAGCCTGGACACTTCCTTGGGTCTGTCTTTCCTGTCCATTTTCCTTGTCTCGGGCATTGGATTTCAATGGCAGGCTCCCAAAGGACACATTCTCAGTTTGTATTAACGGACTACCCGTATGGCCCCATGTTCTTTGAAATGGACTTTTCCATTAGAGGGGGTACTGCACAGATCTGGGGAAATATATGAGTTTTTTTCTGTTTGTTTTCAAGGCTCTTTGAAGCGATGCCTTGTTTTTCCCCAGAGCAATGATATTCAGTATTTTCACATTTATGGAGCTTTTCTCTGTGACAGGTGCCCTGCCACACAACCAACTGGTAGTGTTCCGTTTATCTTGGTTATAGTGTGTGTGTGTGTGTGTGTGTGTGCGTGTGTGTGTGTGTGTTCAGGGTATACCTGTGGCTCACACTGCTGAAAAACATAGACATAGTCACATAGAAAAGCTGTTTCCCAAAGTCAGGGAGTGTGAATAGGGAGTCACAAGGGGACTATTAGACTCCTCGTAAAAACAATCCAACGAAAGAGACAGTTCCATTCTAGAGCTCACATCTCCAACCCTGTCCATAATAATGCATTCAAACTTACCCACCAGTAAATGATACATCTCTCATTGGCCAGTCTTCATGGAACAGATTTATAGTCTCAGGTATTTGGGAGGCTGAGATGAAATTCAAGGTCTAAAGCGAAAGGTTATTAAGGTGGGGTAGAGTTCTGGTCCAGCGGTTCAGTACTTGTCCAGCATTTGCAAGATCCTAGGTATTAGACTGAGTAACACACACACACACACACACACACACACACACACACTACAGATAGGTAGGCAGGGTAGGCAAAAAGGAAGGAAGGCAGGAAGGCAGGAAGGCAGGAAGGCAGGAAGGCAGGAAGGCAGGAAGGCAGGAAGGCAGGAAGGAAGGAAGGAAGGAAGGAAGGAAGGAAGGAAGGAAGGAAGGAAGGGGAAGAAGGAAGAAAGGAAGGGAAGGGAAGAAAAAAGAAAGAATGAAAAAAGGAAGGAAGACATACATTAAGTCTTTTTTTTTTTTTAAAAAAAAGTCTGTTTTCTCCATTCCCTCCTGTAACTGTTTGTCTTTACCCTAAACCCATCAGGCACACCCAAGCTCTACCCCTGAGCTGCATGTGGCCACATACAACAGAAGCGCAGCTGCAAGTCTGGCCAAACAGAGAATCATGAACTCCCTTACAGCATTTTGAGAATTTTAGGTCAATTGGTTCTTTTGTAACTTGACTGTGTTATTCTTGGTGGTGACCTTTGTAAATGATGTTACATTGCAATGTCTCCTATATCTTCCCATGTTGCAAAGACAACAATTAATGATGCTTTGTAAAAGTTGCTGCTAGATCTTTCCTGTCCACAAAATCAAAATACAAGAGCCTACCTCATTCTCTCCCTTAAATGAATCCTGGTGGACTGGCAAGCATACAAGAAAACATAGCTTCAATTTTTTATCATTTGATTTGTGGTGCTCTCTAGGTTTTTCTAAAACACACTGCTGTTTCTTGATTTGTCAATGAACATGTTAGTGAATGGGGGGTAGAGGGCAGAAAGATCAGGAAAGAAGTTTGGGAACCTAGGATGTAGGCTCTTGTGTTGAGATAGGAGCGGCACGGCTGCGTCCCCGGCACCCGGCCGCCCTCATGGCTAGGTTATGCCCCGAAATAATTACACGGAAACTGTATTCTTTCAAACACTGCCTGGCCCGGCTAGTTCCAGCTTCTCATTGGCTAGCTCTTACATATTGTTCTAACCCATTTCTAATATTCTGTGTAGCCCAAGAGCTGGCTTACCAGGGAGGATCTTAACCTGCATCTGTCTGGAGCGGGAGAATCATGGCGACTCCCTCACTAAGCTTCTTTCTCCCAGAATTCTCTTCTGTTTTCTCCACCCACCTAAGGGTGGGCCTATCAAGGGGCCTAGGCAGTTTCTTTATTAATAAGAAATCACTCCCACATCACTCTGGAATGTCATGTTGCATACTTAGATGGCATTTGCCAGCTAGAAGAGAGGCAGGTCACAGAAAATGTGAATCATTGCCGTACTCCATAGTGAGAGAAAAATCAGTCTTTCCGACTTGAAATTCCTTTTCCAATAAGGCCATCTTCTTGTGTGTTACTCTTGACCCTATGAAAAGTTATTCAGGTCTTAGGTAGGTCTACCTCATTTAATACAAAAGATGTGCACTTGAAAATAAGCAATTGTATCATTTACGGTTCTCTAGAGGAACATAACTTATAGAGTATATATATATATGTATGTATTTGTGCATATGTATGTATAAAGAATATATATGCATATTTAATGCATATATATTAGAATGGCTTACAGGCTGAGTTATAGCCAATCCAACAATAGCATACTGGAAGGTACGAGACTTGGACATTTCAGCTGGTCTTCAGCATACACTGGAATCCTGAAGACATAGACTCTAAAGCTAGGAAAGGAATGAACTTGCTAGCATTCCTTTATGTAGGCTTCCAGCAGAAGGTGTGGCCTAGATTAAAGGTGACTCTTCCCGCTTCAAAAGATCTGGATTAGAAATAGGTCTTCCCTCTTTAAATGATTTAATTAAGAAAAAAAAAATCCCCCACAGGCATGCCCAGCCTTGGGTTTAGTTATTTCCAGGTGTAGTCAAATTGACAACAAGACTAGCCAGCTCCATCCCACCCCTGGTCAACTTCCTACTGCCTAAAGGACAAAACTCCAAAAATCTGCAGTGTAGAATCCTCTTCCTAGACCTAACCTCCCCTGCCCCCCTTCAGTCATTGCAGCTCTGTCCCCTGACAGTATCCTGTCGACAGTCACTGCTTCCATGGATGCTAAGTTCTTTCCCATAACTGTTTGCTTGTTTCCACCTCTCCCTCCAACTGGA